CCCCGGCGCCGCCGCCGCCATGGGCCGGGCGGGCGGGCGCGCTGACGTCAGGCGGGCCGAGGGGCGCGGGCGGCTGCGTGTTCCCGCCCCCCGCCCCTCCCTGCGCGGGCCGGGCCGGCGGGAGCCGAGGGCGCGGAGCGGCCCTGCCCCGGCAGGCGACAGCGGCCCGCGCCGTCCGCCGGTGAGTGCGGGGCGGCCGCCACCCCTGCCCCCCTCATCGGGGCTCTGTGCCGGCGGGGAGCGGCCGCCGTCCTCCCGGCAGCGCCGCCGCCCTGCGCCGGGGCGGGGGTCGCGGCTCGGCCGGGGATGCTGCGGCAGCGGGGCCGCGGGAGGCCGGGGCGGGGCGGGCTCGGCGCTCCCCTCCGCGCTCCCCTCCGCGCTCCCCTCGGCGCTCCCCTCCGCGCTCCCCTCGGCGCTCCCCTCGGCGCTCCCCTCGGCGCTCCCCTCCGCGCTCCCCTCCGCGCTCCCCTCCGCGCTCCCCTCCGCGCTCCCCTCGGCGCTCCCCTCGGCGCTCCCCTCGGCGCTCCCCTCCGCGCTCCCCTCCGCGCTCCCCTCCGCGCCGGCCGGATGCCGCGGGCGCGCCGCCGCCGCGCTGCGGCTCGGGGCAGCCGGCACGGCGGGCCCGGCGCCGGCGCTGCGGTGGTTTGTGCGCCCTGTAATTCGTGCTCGGGGAGACGCGCCCGCAGGTGCTGGGGGCAGCTGCTGCGAGCCCCGGCCGCCGAGGTGTTGTAGCGTGAGGTTTCGTGTCTCGAGGGTTTTAGTCTACGAAATGGGGAAGAAGCAAAAGCACCCAGTGTGTGTTCGTAGACAACAATTAAAAAAAAAAACAGTAACGGTGGAAAATAATTATAATGGTGGCATTTCTACTTGAGCAGTGATCTGTTGAGATTTATACCAAGGGGATGTTCTGTAGGTTGTGGTGATTTCTCTTTAATGACACTGAGACTTTGCTTTCGTCACCCAGAGCCTGCTGTTCACTTCGTGCTCTGTCAAATGTACTTTGGCACACAATGAAACGTAGGCAACCTCAGCCTTTAACTTTGAGCTGGAGGAGGTCGAGCTGTTTATCTTCAGTTTAAGAAAGCAAAACTGCATGGGAAGTTTATGCTCTAGCAGAGCCGTAGTGTCCAGGCCAGACATCAAATTAAGGTAAGGATTGTCGATCTGGTACTCCGTCTGGTATGCTGTGTAAAGATGTAGAGCGCTTTTCAGGGAAGCTGGTGCATCTTGCAGGGTTAGAACTTCATATCTATAGCAGGTTTGTTCTTGGTGTCTGTGGGCTTTGAGCCTTGCTTTGGTGCAGAATAGAATTTTTTGCTGCGAAGGTGTTAAAAGTGAAATGAAGTTGAATCTTAAGTTCTCATTTTGTTACATTGAGAGCCACTTCACATATGTACCGAGACTTTAGTAAACTTCTATCTTCTTGGGTTAGCCTGAGGCAGTAAACATTTACATTGTTTGTTGATAATGAATGAAATTGGCAAGGTTTTTTTTCTCGTGTATATAATGATCATGTGCCTCTAAATTCTATGGGCCCATTTTGAATTATATGCCTCCCAGCTGAAGAGGTGATGGCCTAACAAATGGGACACGAGTAACCTAAATGTCAGCCAAGGATCTACGTCAATATCCAACTTAAGAGTCTAAAAGTTGTTTCTGAAGTTGAAGTTTACTTTCTGCTCCTATATAGTATTTTTCATTATAAAAATGTCAATGTTTGGACTCCAGAAACTGCTCAGTATTGTCTTTTAACTGTAAAGCTGTTGAAAAGGGTAGAAATAGTCTCAGTTAATATAATGATCTCATTTAATGTATTGTTATACTAATGAGTAATCCTGTTTAATGGAACTGTTCATGTAAAAGCTTATTGGAGTAAAATCTGTTACTTTTGGACCTGATCATCCTTTAAGAGGGATTGGTTATTTGGAATAAACCAGTTAATGGGAAATGTTGGCAATGGGATCTTTAGATAAAAGGCTGTCATGCCATCAGTCTTGTCATGAACATTGCTTGCCTGGAATCCTTAGAAAGTGTGGATCTCTCAAAATGGAGAGGAGATGAAGGAATATAAGATTACAGAATGTAATATGATAAAATATATCAACAGTGGTAGTGGTGTTCTCTTTCAGCCACTATTCACTGTAAACAGCAGCACCATCTTCCTAATTAGAAGCTTTCAGGCAGGGTTAAGTCCCGTGCCAACAGGGATGCTAAGGAGATCAAAATACTAATGGTGCTTTTGGTAATTAGGTTGAAAATCCTGTATTGTGTTTCAGTTAGAGCAATAAAAACAGATTATGTAAATCTCTGGATACCTACACACATGTACGTTACAGTAAAATCCCAACAGCTTTAAATAGTTATCTTAAATTTGAAGTTTGGCTAGTCAGGAAAGGTCTTTGCATTTCTTCACAGCTCTTGGACACACACCCCAGCTCACCTTAAACTGTTAGCAAGTAGGTGCATTTTCAAGATATTCTGAAATGTTGTTTCCTCCTTGATCAAAAGTAGCTGGATTTGCAGAGTTCTGGACTTTGCTCAGTAGTCATTCTCTCTCCTAAAGGGAGGATTCAGCTGCAGCAGTTCTGCTGACATCCTATAGGAATTGAAGAAAGTCTCCTCAGGGTGGGGGTTTTGCTTATCCCTGGTCACATGGGGAACTGGTGTCACAAGTTCTTGCTAAAATGCCTGTTTCACTTCAGATTGTTGGGTTTTTCAGGAGCACTTAGTCTGTGCTAAGCTGAGGCCCTGCTCTGCAGAGTGCATTTTAATGGCCTTTATTGAAGAGGTACTGGCACTGCTGGCAATGTCCTCACTGCAAGGAGGCTTGGCTTCTTAGCCAGAGGAAATGGTTGATAAGGATTTACTTTGATGAGGTGGCTAAACAACTTACAGATCAGGAATAACCCTTAAATTGTAAATAATATCTGCAATTATTCCCTGAAGCCTAAGAAATTCTGTGCTTTTAGGCTAATCAGCCCAGATGGCTTGTGACACACACAGCACAAGGAAGCATCCAGGGAGAACTGCATGTCCCAGCTTCTCTTGATTCAATTATATGTCTGCTTTAAGCTGGAGATTCAGAAATCTCTTCTAGATGGATGCAGAGTTTATCACTACACTATGGATTTGGATGATAATTTGATTCACACTCTTTTTGTAAGTTGTTTTAAAGATTTGCTTTGCTTAAATGCTATTATTTTGCTGATCGTATATGTTAAAATTATTACACAGCCATGTTGATACATATTTTTGATGAGTTGAGGGTTGCTGTGGTTTTTGAGTAACCTTCATCTCAGTAAGGCAAACTTGCAGAAGTAGAAACTTGGCAAGGCCCAGGCTGCTGCTGTCAGTAGCATGAGACTTGAGGGGAGGAGCACAATCTGTCAGCCTGCATAGCCTTGTCCATCTGTAAACAGAGTTAAAAACAGAAAAAAAATCTCTGTGTAAATCTTTTAATCATGGAAGCTTTCTGAAATGGTAATTTGGATACATTTAGCTTTACTATGACTCCATGGAGATCCTTATTAAGCAAAACAAGCAATATGTATCGCCTCCCTGTAAATTTGAGTAAAATACAACATAGATGACTAACTCAGGAACTGATCCTGTGACAAACTGTCACTTGTAACTGAAGTTACATCTCAGTCTCTCAGAGAATCTTTTTTTTTTCCTCTTCAGTTTCAAACCTCTGAGGACATAACAAATATCTGTGTCTTCCACATTGTAGGAAGCTGACCTTGAGAAATACATTCCAATATAGCTGTTGGTGTATAAAGCTAGTAGGAAAACACAGAACACACATTAAAATCCTGTAGGCTGCCAATCTGTTGTCAAAACCATGTTGGTATTTGTTATGCTGTGGCAAACTTGCAAAGTTGTTTGGTACTCAAACATTTTCAGGGAGTCTGGTTTTGAGACTGGAAACTGATTTATATCAGTGGAATTATAGACAGAAGCTATATTGAGTCCAGCACTAATGAAATGAAACTCAATAGCAAGAAAATTGTACTTTGAAGATGTGTTTTACAAATAAGCAAGTTTCAGCTGAAAGCTTTAATACACAGGTGTGTGAGTGCAGTATTTTTTGATCAAGGGTAGATGTTAAGGAGAAACAAAACTTCAAATAATACAGTATCTTAATGAAAACACGTAGATGTGAAACAAACTGGAGTGTTTGGTAGCCAGGAGAGCGGGTATCGGTAGCCTCTTCTGGCAGTGTAGGGGGTTTAGAAGTAGTTTTAGCAATCTTCCTTGGGAATCTGTGCAAGACAATTAAATAACCTTGAAAGAGCTGTTATTTGGGCTCTGGAACTCCTTGCTTAAGGCTGTCAGGGATGCAAAAATTTTGAGGCTCAAGGACAGGTTACACAAAATAGTGGACAAGAAATCTATGGAGGGTTCCTGAACAAACTGCATCAAATTTAAGATATTCTGTGAACTGAGAACAGTTGAAGGTTGAAGAAGTCACATTCTGTCTTTGCCCTAATCATCCCTTCCCTGGTGCATTTTTATTTTAAGGAAACCACAAGAGTTAATGGAATTTTTGTATTCTTCACCTCTAAAATAAAATTGACTGGAGGAACTATATGGAGAATTGAACTGGGCATTGAAGTGCCATGATCAGTGAAATTCCATGATTTATATAATATTCCCAGCTTATGCAGGATTCACTGTCTGTCTTTCATGATAGCAGTGTTAAGGATTTTCTCTGTCAGTCCTTTTTCTGGTGTTTTTTTAATCCAGCAGTGGCTGATTTAACAATATGGTTTTTTTAGATACATCATAATGTGCTGACATGTTCTTGTCTCAAGATCATGATCTTCTGTAAAAAACTGAACTATGCTGAAGTAGCATTGGCAATATGTAGAAAAGAAAATCTCAAAACTGTTTTTTTTCTATCTTCTTTCTGCTTCATCTTGTCTAATATTGCTCAATTATCATGTGCTAACCTCTTCAGACTTATTGAAGATATCCCAGTATCAATGAGTCTATGAGTTACATGCAGTCTCTTCCAATTATCTCTGCTTGGCATTCAACTTAACCTATAACTAGAATTCTTACTTGGGCAGTAGGAGAAAGAAATAAATAATGAGTGTATGTGGCTGGAGAGGAAAAAAAACAACTTACATACTGGTTGAAAGCACAGCCTCATTGAAGATTTAAACCCATGGAAACTCTTAATCTTAAGATACTCAAATAGAAAAATTGTTCAGCAGCAGTTCAGACAGGAAGTATTGTTTCAGTTATTAGTCATTATTTAATCATTACAAAATAGATATTGAAAAATACAGTAGTACCAGTGTGAGGGCCTTCTAGCTCAAGACAGCTCAGTGTTTTTACATGGAGAACATGCATCAGTTGAATAAACAAACCAGAGGAGTAGGATGGACAACATGGCAGTCTAAAAAGGGATATTTCCAGTTAGAATTAGCTGTATACCAAGTTTCACTTGGCTTTCAGCCTGCCTGTTGTTATCAGCAAGAAAATCCTGCTCCAGCTAACATGTTTGTATGTGAGAAGTAGAAAACAGTAACTGGTAAACAGCTCTTTGAGTTTCATTCTTTGAGTGAAGTAAATCTTTCCTAGAAGAGTTAGAGATGGGAATAGTGTGTTTGAATCACTAGGTAACAGTGGATAGTGCTGAGGAAAAAGGTTGTTCTGTTTTTAAGTGAAATATTTGCTAGAGAACAGGAGGTAATTCCTTCTGGTTTGCAGTAGAACATTGCTTTTGAGAGATACAATCTTTCTGGATTTGTTTTTACAAGACAGATTAAATTACCCATGTGAAATGCTGCTGCTGAAGGACTTATACCATCAGCAGAAGCAGGGGCCTGTTTCTGCTGTCAGTTTGCTTTGATGCTGACATAATCACAAAATGTTTTGAGGAGAGATCAAGATCTGGCATTTCACTAGTAGAAAGCTTTAATTCTAGACTGCAATTGATGTTTGGAGTTTTTCAGTCAATCTTAGCCACAACATAAAATTTAAATTGCCTTTATGATGATGATGACACCTTTAAAACTCTTCTGAAAGGCAGGTTTCTGGTTACCTGCTGCCTTATTCTTCACATAAGAATGCCAGAAATGTTTGAGAAACCTTGGAAAAAAGATGAGAAAGAGGAGAGTCTTTCCAAAATCGATGTACTT